AATTTGCCTTAAAATACTTAGCTAAATGAAAAAATACCAAAAAAAACATAATCAAATATTAATCATAGATACAGATATGTTACACATACTTTTTTGTCTTTACTCCTTTTTGATTTCTGTTTGTCCTGTTTGTCTGCTTATGTGTTTTGTTTTTCTTTTTGTGGCTATATTTTTACTTTTTTACACACATTCTCCTGCCTTTGTCTCTCTCCTAAGGAATAATTCTTTCCAGTCATAGTATTAAGTTTCAGTTCTGATATATAGACGTTCTTTTTAAATTCCTGACTTCTTTTCTTTGATTTCATTCTGTTTGCAGCCCAGAACGGGTTTATTAAAGTACCATTCAAAAGAATGAAATCCCTGGAAATGTATGCACTAGAGGAATGTGATGTACACGGCCATTGTGTATTCCTGAATAGTATTTAACTTTTTACTACACTCTTTGTTGGCAGTTTTAGTTGATAGATTCTTCGCTTTTGCTAAGAGAAAAAAAACGAAAAAAGAGTGCGAGAGAAAGAGAGAGAGAGAGAGAGAGAAAGAGAGAGAGAGAGTGAGAGAGAGAGTGAGAGAGACACAGAGAGATAGACACAGACAGACAGAGCGAGAGAGAGGGAGAGAGAGAGAGAGAGAGAGAGAGAGAAAGAGAGAGAGAGAGAGAGAGAAAGAGAGAGAGAGAGAGAGAGAAAGAGAGAGAGAGAGAGAGAGAGAGAGAGAGAGAGAAAGAGAGAGAGAGAGAGAGAGAAAGAGAGAGAGAGAGTGAGAGAGCGAGAGAGAGAGAGAGAGCGAATGAGAGAGTGAGAGAGTGAAAGAGAGAGAGAGAGAGTGAAGGAAAGTGAGTTAGAGAGAGTGAAAGAGAGAAAGAGAGAGAGTGAGAGCGATAGAGAGAGAGAGTGTGAGAGAGTGAGAAAGAGAGAAAGAGCAAGTGAGAGAGAAAGAGAGTGAAAGAGAGAGAGTGAGAGAGCCAGAGAGAGAGAAAGAGCGAGTGAGAGAGACAGTGAGAAAGAGAGAGAGAAAGAGCAAGTGAGAGAAAGAGTGAGAGAGAAAGAGAGTGAAAGAGAGAGAGTGTGAGAGAGAGAGAGAAGGAAAGAGAGTTAGAGAGAGTGAAAGAGAAAAAGAGAGAGAGAGAGAAAGTGAGAGAGAGACAATGAGAGAGAGAGAGAGCGAGTGTGTGAGAGAGAAAGAGCAAGTTCTAGAATGTGAGAGAGAAAGACAGTGTGAGAGAGAAGGAAAGAGAGTGAGCAAGAGAAAGACAGAGAGAGAGAAAGAGAATGAGAGAAAGAGAGAGAGAGAGAGAGAGAAAGAGATTTTTTTTCACCAACTGCTACATTACAAAAATGACAAAAAATATATAATTAACAGCCAAGTGTGTTATAAATGTAACACGAAGTGATGTAAATATGCATATGTGTCAGTAAATATTCAACATACCTGAGACATATAAAAATATAAACCTGTCTGACATTTAGACGCATACATGGGGAAAAAAAAAAAAACCTACGTAACACTTTGTCAAAACCTCCTCTCAACTTTTAGCATGTCGTTATTTCAGAGTAAAAACCATTGTGTGAACAGCTGAATGTTCTAGAAGTATAAAGTATGCTGTGTATCCCAGGCAGACAGAGAACTATTGTCACAGCTGAAATAACACATTTTTACCATCAAATTAAAATTTCTTCTGCCTCTGCTCCCATGGCGCCGTGCACACTTTATTATTTAAACAGAGATAAACTTTCAGGAAATGTGAAGAGACAGAAGTGTGAAAAGGTGAGCCAGCTGTAGCCGCGCTTCTGATGAATACTTATTTTGATTAAGTCCATCTTTTGGGTTTTTTTTTTCTTAATATAAAAAAGAAGCGAGACATTTTGTTCTCCTGTCCTATTCTGCCTGAAGGTCTTTTTCACATCGACTTCATGATGAACTATTTATTATTTAAGATTTTTTGGTGTGCAACCGTGATAGAGGATGTCATATTTTTTTTCTTTTTCTTTTTTGTTTTTTGAAGGGGTTGCATCAAATGTTTGTGAATTCTTTTACAATTTTTAGATCATTTTGTTGATTTCCTTTCGCTTTTTTAATTTTATAACCTAAATTGGCAAAACTGCAGATTATTTTTTTTTGCATTTCCACTAGCACTGAGCTAAATGCTCTGATGAATTTTAATTTTGCTGACCTTTCAGAGAGTTCAAAAATATTTGAAACAACAGAATTTTAAGTACATCTTTTCAGCTCTTGGAGATTTGACTTAAATATTGTATTTGGAAGAGAATGTTATACAGAACCTTATATTTACAGTTACCCTGACTACAAGGGTCTTACAGAGTTCCTACCCATCCACAGATGAAGACTGAAAAAGTAAAAGAAAAGATTTAACTCACCCTCACTGCTTTTTAAACCACCACCATCACAGCTGCCCTAATTCATGTGATGCCATCGCCCATGTCATTATGTTTGTGTTGGCCGTTCCCATCCCTTATCAGCCATCTAAATAAGGCGCTTGACCTCCAGATGCCTCAGTGGAGCGGATCAGATGTAATGTGACTTTAGCGAACAAGTGTATTTGGCCACTGCTGGAAAAGAGCAAACAAAGTCAAAGCAACCAGCAGAATAAATTAAGGCAATAAACACAGGATTCCATTTGACCTGAACATGGTCTCCAAGAGACTAGCAGTGCATTGCATTGTTTATCCTGCGAGAAAAACGGTCGACAACCCAGACATTCTCTCACATTAGGCCTAGTTAATTCAGGCTCGTATATATTCCTAATGGACGCCCTCTGACATTGGAGTTACATTCACTTTTCGGGAGTAAAGGCAGCTCTCCTCTGGGCGTCCTTTATATGCTGCACTCTACACGACAGTAACTGTGCAGTAGATAAATGTGTTACAAATGATTGTCTTTAATTATACTATCTGTCTATCTATACAAAATAATCATGCATAACCAGTGGGAATCAAACCGCCTACTACACTACTGTAAGGCCAAAAGAATGACCCAACACGGGGCTAGATCATGGTCTTATATTACAAATGTCAATTAGGAAAAACTGTTTCTGAATGAAATTATTGACAGCCCCGACTCTAAGATGACTTTGTTGTAACCACAGTCACTGTGTCTCCTGTATTGATTTTGTATCGACTTTTCTCTCTCACGCTGCACGTGTCAAGTCCTTAGAATTAACAGCCTATGACTGTCAGGCTGTCACTGTTATAATTACCCCTCTCCACGGTGAAAGGTCAGCATTTGGTCAAAGAGAGTTGATGTCCACTTCAGGGTCAGGGTGTGGTGTAGGATAATATCGTATTATCAAATATCGAACAGTTTGCTATCGTGTTGACTAATCAGCTGTTCAGTTGTTCCATCAGCTCCCGGTGAGACGCTCCGATCTCCAGTCACTTTCTACTTTTAGCTTTGTGACAGTTCCCTCCTCTGCCTCTAGTCTCGTCTTTTCCTTCCGTGTGATTGGCCGTCGCTTTGTGTGTTTTTGTGTCAATGCTCCGTCTGCACAGAGAAACATTAGCACACGTTTAATCAGTGGAATAAGATTATTATGTTAAGTTGATGATAAAATAAAAGCATCAACCAATCAGAGGGACACACGAGGAAGAAAACATTATTTTAGACTCGTCGACTCCCCCTGGGGGACGTCAAGTGTGGACATCTAGTTATTTTTTCTTTATAATTACAGGTCTAATTATAGAATTCCAACCCTGAACACTTTATTTTTTATGGCTTCATCAAAGGTCCTTACATAACATGACCAGAGTTTTTTTCTTTTCCTCCCCCGTCAGATGTGTGTGTTGAAACAGATGGATGAACAGATGGATGTGACGGGCATTAACCACATTTAGCCTGCCGTTACGTAGCAGACATATGCTGAATATCCCACGTTAGAGTTGCATTGTCATCGTGGAGCCAAATGCCAAGCACCAGCTTGTTGTGTCTTGTTAGTACGTCCTGAACGGCCGACTCCAACGTCAACATCAGGTTGTGTTACAGCCTTTCACCGTGTTATTGCAGCTGCTGCTCTGCCTCAGTGACTCTCACTGTTGTTCTGCTTCATCAGACAGTGTTATGGTTAAAAACAAAATGCTTACCTCAGCAGGATCTGCCATCAGAGGGGTCAGTGGGGATGTCGTCCGCATATTTGCCTGAAAGAAAATAGTAGAATTTGGGTTGGGTTTTTTTTTGCGTCATTAAAAATCAGTTACTTTTAAATGTATTCTTAACTTTGATAAAAAAAAAAAAAAAAGAAATGAAGAAAACATGTAATGTTTATTCTAATTTCAAATTCGGGTTAAATTTGGGTTAAAGGGTTCAAAAATAAGATTGCAACAGAACAAAACACACTTTAACTATTAACGACCAATGACAAAACTCGTCAAAACTGAACTTTTAACCCTTTTAATTAATCAACTACAGAAAAATCTGTGTTTCACTGTAACATCTTACAATATAATATAATATATTTGTACAAGACTAAAAAGATATAAACAAACTATTTTCAAAAATAAAAACAAGATTTTCTGTGTGTGTGTGTGTGTGTGTGTTTCCATCCTCCCATGAATGTGTAAAATTATGAGGCTTTGATAGAATGAGTCTAAGCGACTGTTCGTATGCATGCGTGCACAGACAGCACCGTGTGCCTCCTGTGCAGTAACTGTAGCAAACCCCCCTTCCTGTTTCCTCACCCCGGGCTCCCAGTGGGTGAGTACGGTTAGTCGCTGATCACATGTGACATGGGTTTTCCTGACAGTTTGGGGTCACCTGTCCCCACCCCTCCACACAGAGGTACGACGCTACATAACAGAAAAGTCTCTTAAAAGCACAGCTTGTTGAAGGCTCCGTCGAACGTTAACTGAGTTTGACAAAGACAAAGCTATTGGGGGAAAATGGAGGAAGTGAAGAGGAGTGGAACAGGAAAGAGGCGAGGAGGAAAGATGGAACATGACGAGGGGAGAGGAAAGAATGTGTTGAGGAAAATAGGAAAAGAA